GGTTGGCAGCATTGCGTCGACATTGGACGATGCAGAATCGGACAGCACTTAGTCTGACCTTGACAATGACAATGACGAATCGGGGTCGTTGAAGTCAGAGTTGAAGACGGTGAGATGGCCGGACTCAAAGGACTTGAAGGGGTCGCCAGAGTCGCAGAATTGTGTGGCTGGTGCTGGGAATGGGGATCGATGTGGCTGGCAGGAAATAGGAAGTGTGGATGAACCGTAGCTGGTGATGCGTTGGCATCAGCACTCAGCGAGTTGGTTCAGGTTGATGGATGGAAAGTGGAGGCCACACAATCGATGAATTGATGTGGCAAGGACGTCTCCAGGACACGAGATGACGGGTTTGACAGGTTTGTCAGCAGAGATTGACCAGCGAGGGTGATCATCTGCAACAGTTGCAGGTTGAGACTGCAAGTAATCATCCATCACGTGTAGATACAACACTTCTTTGATTTCAGCGTGTCCAGGCAAGTCCCAGTAGTCCACGAGGACTAGAGAGAGGATCGTCCTGAGGGAGATTGCGACTGTCGAGCTGATACAACAATGGTTTTCTGAGTTGTGTTTGTCTGAGTTGCATTTCATGTAGTTGGTACAGCCTAGACGACGCTAACACGAGTCTGAAATGTCGTCAATGTGTGAGTTACACGTTGAGGAAAGACCAGAGATGCGTGAGCACAAATATCTAAGTGCACACGGGAATTTCGTGTGTGTCCCCCCAGGAAAGTGCGTGAATTGGCATTAAAACCACATGTAGATGCGTTAAGCATGCAAGGTCGACTTAGAGAACTTGGATGTCCCTACTGAATAGAGGTCAGAATGTGGCCAGATATGGAAATGCCGCATAAGGGAATACTGAATAGCATCTGTGATGTGATTCAAATATTGTGTATTGTACATGTAATTATGATGACCAATGCCGGAGTCCAGTTTGCAGAGGGTCGTGCAACAAGTCATTTAGTGTTAACCCATGCAGTCGTTGCACCCAACCCAACCCTGGGAGCTTGAGGAAGCACAGTCAAGGTCATGGAGTCAATACCTGGGCATGCGGAACAATAATTAATGGTTTAAATATTAGTTATAACTGTGACTGTTGTTGGTGCGCTGTAGTGTAGATGTTATAGTGTGAGTTGAGGCTATGCAGTCTTTTTGGCTGCATGTGTTCAATTCTCGCTTGTTGCAACTTTTTTTTAGCATTCTCCCATGCAATAATCGCATGCCCAGCACTGAGGAAGCGCAGAGTCAAAGCTGCAGAGTCGATACCTGAGCACAGAGAATGCCAGAAAAAGGTGGCAACAAGTGGGAATCGAACACATGCAGCCAAAAAGACTGCATAGCCTCAACTCACGCTATAACATCTACACTACAGCACACCAACAACAGTCACAGTTACAACTAATATTTAAACCATTAATTGTTCTGCATGCCCAGGTATTGACTCCATGACCTTGACTGTGCTTCCTCAAGCTCCCAGGGTTGGGTTGGGTGCAACGACCACATGGGTTAACACTAAATGACTTGTTGCACAACCCTCTGCAAACTGGACTCCGGCATTGGTCATCATAATTACATGTACAATACAAAATATTTGAACCACATCACAGACACTATTCAGTATTCCCTTATGCAGCATTTCCATATCTGGCCACATTCTGACCTCTATTCAGTAGGGTCAGTCGGGTCCCAGACTACCAATCAGTCTAAAAAAGTGTAAGGCCGGTTGGGGTGCCGGCCTCGGTGACTCCTCAATCCTCAGGCCAGGTGGCTATGTCCCGTTTGGGGGAATGCATATGGTTGCATGATATAGGAGTGATGGGGTATGAATGTGGTCAAATGGGGGTGGCACTGCCACCACCCACTACACCTGACCTCTGTAGACCTTGCACAGATTACACCATTTGGGTTATTGAGGGATGCGGCCTGGGCCCCACTGTCTCTGTGGACACACATGATTCAGATCCAGGGACATTTCGTTCACATGCCGATTATTTACATTGAAACCCTGACTGTACTTACAATACAAATAGCGGCTCCGATTGCGGCCTGCCTGATGTTCCGGAGTGCCACTTAGAGCTCTTGCACACTGTGTTGGACCGGCAAACAAGTCAAACGGGGTGCTAAAGGGGAAATCGGCCTGTAGTTGGCTGCAGATGGGTGTAGATGTGCAGCATCGAGGAAAGGGTCAGAACGTCCAACCTTCTGTTTGAATTCTGTGTCTGCTACCTGATACAAGGTTGCAATGTAGAGGATGGGTCAAACAGGGTAAAGGCTGGTGAAATGGCGTAGATACAAATTCCTCTCTTCAGGCTTGTTGCTAGATCAAAATTGATAGTTTGGATGCAAATTTGAGGAAAATTTTCCGTTCCCCCCAGGCCAGAAATCACTGGTAGAACAAGAAATCACCCCAGATTGCCTTCCCTCCTGCAGAACGCATCTTCAAATGCATTTGACTCATCAATTCTGACCCTTCAGGCCACTTTCTCCAGTGGCATGACCTTGTTGACTACGGCTTCCACTGCCAACAACTTCCTCAGAGCTACAGATGGCCCATTTGCAGAGTTGAAAGAGCTTATTTGTCATATCCATCCATGGCCATCGTCCTTCATTACCTCTGGCCCCTCCGGACTACCTCCGCTCCTTCTTCACTAACCTCGGAGCTCCCATATTCCGCAATCACCTCTGCCTCCCTTGATGGTCACCACCCCCTCTTTTCAATATATTACCTATGCCTCCCTAAGTATGGAGCCCCAAAGGCTTCCGGACAGCTCTGACATCCGCTAGCACACTCCTGCCTCCGCTGGGCAATTCACTTGCTTGCCCTGCAAGTCCACCTTCAGGCCTATCCCTCCTTTCCATTTCTGGGTTATTGCCTGCCATTCCGCTAACCCTGTAACCTGACTTGTCAGTAATATTCAATCAGCTAATGTTTAACTCCATTAGCTCCACTCTGCTCGGTCCCGCCATTCATGGGCTCGCCCTTGCTGTAACTATATATACTTAACTTGTACATAGGTTACACTTCAGTGATAAAATTGACTAGAGTTGATCCCCCTTTAGTTCTCGTTGCCAGTAAGTAAATTAGGGCATGGACGTTGTAACGGGTCTATCGCCTAGACTCGAGACAGAGAGAAGGGGGAGGGTGGTAGTGTGCGCGGGTGTGGTTCGTTGGGCCGGGTTTTGGTCCGTGGGTGCTGTAGGTGTCTGCAAAAACCTCAAACAAACACTCACCTACGTCTCTCTTGGACGTCAAGGCTGAGTAGTATGATGAGAGGGGTCTTAGACGTAAGCAACTAGCTCAATGGGGGCGTTAGGGTCGTGGATGGCGTCTTTGCCACTTGGATGCAACTTCTGCTTGTCCCTTCACGGGTCTATTCAATACTAACTTGTTATGTACAAGCTGTTATCTATTTTATATGAGTTGGAAATGGAATGAATGGAGTGGGGGAATGTAAACGGGCCGTTAGGCAACCGTAAATGATGAATATCCAATTGGGAACAAAGAAACAATAAAAGAAATATGAATGAATGGGGAAAATGTGACAATGGGTCCAAAATGGGAAATGTAAAAGTTAACTCCGCAACGCTTCGCCACAGCGCCCGCCTATCCTCCCGACAGCAACCTCCTCGTCTCCAGCTTTCCAATGAGCCCTTATTCGTCCCAATTGGTGCAGTGGTTCTTGAGATGTGGAGAGGGGGTGAAATTGGCGGCGTGGTTGGGCGTGGGAATTTGGCTTGGGGCTGTCGGGAATGATGGGGAAAATATGGAAAAATATGGAATGAGTGTATGGAGTGTTGGATAGTGATAGAATGAGTATCGGGAGCGTCAGCGAATATGTACTGCGTGTTAGTGACCAAATTCCGCAGAATCCGACTTTTTGCGGTACACGGAGTTGTCCCCACAACAACGTGTAACTTGGCACAGCACTCCTGGCTTGAGTCACTGAGGCCGAAGCCCTCTGCCATGGAGACAATTCTTTCGTCTCGATCCGGTCTCTGACATTATTGCACAACGTGCTTCCATCGAAGACAGGCCACAATTCCAACCACTTGTCCCCCCGATCAAATTGTGAAGGGAATTGTGCAGAAAATATGGGGTCATTCATCTATTGAGACAGTTGGAGATATTGGCAATATACTAGAGAAGGGACTCGTTACAGATGATTTGAGCCTCGAAGGTGCATTGGTGTCTCTGTTGCTTACACCATTTAGAAATACTCAAAGACCCCCTGCAGTTTTTTTAGAAGCTTGCATTGCTGGCTACGCACAGAAAAAGGGGAAGTCCCCCCAAGAAGTCATGAAGAGGTTCCGTTTACACAATCCCACTGAAGCAGGCCAAACGGCTTGGCAAACATGGCTTAAGCTTCACCATAAGTTAACCACATACTTGAAAGATATTAGGAACTAATCATTTCCTAGCTGGAATTGACAGTCAAGAAGCAGCATGCCTGCATAAATTACAGCAACAGGATATCGATAGGAAGTACCCTGATGTCAGGGCATGGGAAAACGTTACCGTGACTCGCCATTGGCGACTGTTAGGGTGCGCTGCTCCGGTGTAACAGCCCGTTAAGGGCGGGGATGACAATTGCAGTGAAACGGGGTTTTGGCTTCAATCACTCATTTGTGAGCGTTCCACCTCGTACTTGATGTGGCCCCGATATTTCAGAGGGCAGAGGATGTGACTGAGTCAGACAGAGAGTGCAGGGGGTAACCCTAGTTGATTTTCGAACTAAAGTACGAGGTAGTATACAACCGGTATTTAAGTGTAACAGAATGAATAGAAATAATTCACCAGATCTCACAGAGATTGCGGGCGGGCTTAAGAAGGAATGAAAACAAACAAAGAGTGTGGGAGAAGGATGGCCATGCACGGCCATCAAGAAAAACAAGCATGATAAGGAATGACTCATAGGCCCGTGATGGGCTGTGGAACAGGTAGCAGTGATGGGGAAGGGTAACGGGCTTGTTCAGGTGGCATCGGGCAGGTAGCGGAGTTGATGGGGTGGAAGCGGAGGAGGGAGAAGGTGCGGGGAGTGGTCACCTGACCGTGGGAATTGCTGGGTCGTGACACCTGACCAGGCAGAAGAAGCAAAAGCGTTCTATGATAAAATTCTGATACATTGAGGGGACCTTGTTTTATTGAAGGACGAGAGGGAGGCTCAACCAAATGAAGGCCTTTATCTGTTGCAGAAAATAACGGGAAAATACGCTGCTCAGGTATAGTACAGAATCCAGTAACTATCGCAATCGATTGTACTGAAAAATTTGCTGATAGCTTGCTGCACTCAGCTCCATTCATCCTGTTGGGGTGGTGTTAGTGGGGTTCATAGCAGATGACAAGCTTGCCCCTTGGGATTCAACTATCGCATTTACGAGCTCACCAATGATTGCGGAAATGGTCAAAGCTATGGGCCTACCCCTCACAGAGGATAGTGCCTTAGCCATGAGGAACTTCTACAACAGGATAAAGGCATTCAGGTACAAGGTTTATGCAGGAAAGGCACAAATAACTTACTCATATCCTTCCAGCCCATATCAACCCGATGCCATTAAACAGAGGTATGAGCAATTTGTCTCCTAGCCCGCATTGGCTGAAATAGGTGCAGAACCTTTCTTCAACATCTTGGGGTGTTTACAAACCCTGATAAATCTACCAGCGAGGTGTTTGGTGCCTCAAGCCTCATGAAGACTTGTCAGGGATGCGTTGTAACGGGTCTATTTGCCTAGACTCGAGACAGAGAGAAGGGGGAGGGTGGTAGTGTGTGCGGGTGTGGTTCGTGGGGCCGGGTTTTGGTCCTGGGGCGCTACTGTCAGGGACGGCTCGAGGGAGGCAGAGGTAGCGGCGTAGCGCTCGGCGCTAGCGGCCCGGATGGCAGCAGGGCGGTAAGACCGTATAGTGAGCAGCCCTCACTCGGGCTTACGTCCCTGTGTGGCTTCTTAGGCTGAAGCGGGAAATGTATTGTTATTAGGGTGGGAAGCTAGACTAAACTAGGGTACTTGCCTGAAGCGGGAAATGAGAAGAAGGTTACTTCTTCGGTCCTGCTTCAGCTTAGTTTATATACATGTGTGAACGGGTCACGTGGAAGTGCCACGTCACCTTCGGACGAAGCCGGGTTACCATGGGTGGCTCCGCGGTCGATCCCGAGTGTTGGAGGGGAAGTACAAGTAGGAGTGCGCGGCGTGTCCAGCATGGCGGTGCCCCTACGGGGTGCTCAGTGTTGGGCGTGTCCGTGCTACAAGTGTAGGAAAGAAAGAGAGAGGTCATCCATATAAAGATAGAAAAAGAGAAGAGGGAAAGAAGAGAGAAAAAGAGGATGAGACGAAAGGAAAGGAGGTGGCAGCGGTGGCGGCGGCGGTGTGCCCTGACATCACCCCCCCCTTAAGCCACTTTGCCTCGAAGTGGCTAGGGGGTTCCCTCGTTCTCTTCCGGGGGCGTCTGGGTGTGCTCTGTAGAACTCCTCGATTCAGTCACGTGCATTGGCCAGGTTGTCGAGGGGGAGCCATTCATTTTCGGAGTTTGGCCAGCCTGTGAACTTTACCAAATACCAGAGCTTCCTGCAGCGCCAGCGGGAGTCGAGGACCTTCTCAACTTCGTACTCTTCCCCTGTCTATGATTTCGGGGCCTGGGCGAGGGTCGGTGGGTCGTTCGGCGATTTCGTCTGGGTGGTGGGGTCGGATATTCGTCACTGACACCACTGGGTGGACTCCCTTTTGCCATGCTGTAAGTTGGAGCTTGATGGCAGCGGGGGATACGACCTTAAGAATTTTAAAGGGGCCTGTCCATTTGTGGTCCAGCTTCTTGGTTGGGCAGTCTGTGGTGTAGTTTTGGGTGCTGAGCCAGACTTGGTCACCCTCTTTGTACTCAGGCGCCGCTTCCTGATTCCGGTCATAGTAGCGGGCCATCTCCTTTGCTGCATGCTTGAGCGCCGCTTTCGCCTCCTCTTGCATTTTCATCATCCTCGAGGTGAACGCATCTGCGGCTTCGACTTCTGACGTGCGTGTAGGTTCTGTCCCCATTCTGGGGTGCTGGCCGGTGTCGAGCTCGAAGGGGGTGCGGCAGGTGGATGCGTGGATGCGGTTGTTATGGGAGAACTCCGCTAGCGGGAGCCAATCTGCCCAGTCGTCTTGATGGTGGTTAACAAACACTCGGAGGTATGCTTCTATCTCTTGGTTTACCTGCTCTGTCTGCCTGTCTGTCTGTGGGTGGTAGGGCATCAAGGGGGTCAATTTGACCGCTAGCAGGGCTGCCAGTTCTTTGGAGAACTGGGAGACAAAGGCGCTCCTTCTGTCGCTGAGAATTTCCTCGGGGAGGCCATGATGCTTCCAGACATGTTCAAGGAAAAGTTGGGCGATTCCCACCGAGTCCACCGTTGTGACCGTGGGGATTGCATGGATGCGCTTGGAGAGGCGATCTACTACAACCAGGATGGCATTGTAACCTTTTGACTCGGGGAGCTCCCCGATCATATCTACAGAGATTACCTGCCAGCGGCGGGTGGGGATCTTGTTCGGCATGAGTTTCCCCACCTTCCGTGAAGGGAACGATTTGACTCGGTTGCAGGCGTCGCACCCCGCTACGTAGCGGCCTATGTACTCCGCCATCCGGGGCCACCAGTAGTCGCGGGAGACGAGTTCCAGGGTTTTCCATCGCCCTGGGTGTCCCGTCGCCCGCGCCTTATGGTGTAGCCGCACCAGGTCGTGGCGGAGTTGCATGTCTTTCGGGACATACACCTTTCCTCGGTAGAGGACCAGTTCTCTGTCTTTGCTCCATTCATCTGACCTGAGTGTCCCATCTCCTAGTTCCTTCAGTGCCTTCACCACTTTCTCATTGCGGTCCTTCGCCACGCGTATTCTCTCCAGGATGGTCATCTCTTCTCCCTCCACTGTGACGGCCTCCATCGCATGGGCTTCGAACCACTCTGGCTGTAAGAGGGTCAAGCTCTCGTTGTCGTCTTTCCCTTTCAGGTGGTCGGCACGGCGTGAGAGGGCATCCGGTTTCCCCATGAGCTTTCCTGGGCAGTGGATGAGGGTGAAGTGGAAGCGGGATAGGAAGAGTGACCACCATGCTTGGCGGCGATTCAGCCGCTGTGCAGTGCGGAAATAGCCCAAGTTACAGTGGTCAGTGTAGATATCGACCTTTTCTTCCGCTCCTTCTATGAAGTGACGCCACTCTTCTAGCGCTCGGACTATCGCGAGCATTTCCTTATCATAGATTTCATAGTTTCGTTCTACCTCAGTGAAGCTTTTGGACATGAAGGCTATGGGGTGGAATTCGCTGTCGGCTTGGAGCTGGGACAGGACGGCGCCGGTGGCAAAGTTGGAGGCGTCGCATTCGAGTTTGTAGTGGCCGCTGTTGGCAGGGAAGGTGAGGACGGGGGCGGAGGTGACAGCTTTCTTAAGAGCGTTGAAGGCATTTTCTTCGCTCTCTCCCCATTCCCAGACCTTTGCTTTGCGGGTTAGCACATGGAGTGGGCACGCTGTCTCGGAGAAGTCTTTGATGAAGCGGCGGTAGAAGTTTACGAAGCCTAAGGACTGCACTTCTTTCACCTTCATCGGCATCGGCCAGTCGAGGACTCCTTGGATTTTCACCGGGTCCATGGCCACGTTGCCTTCGGAGATGACAAGTCCGAGGTACTTGATGTGGCGTCGCTCGAACTTGCACTTCTCTGGTTTGAGGAAGAGTTTCCTCCTCCACAGCGTTGTAGGCGGGATAATCGCCCACGCTGTAGGCGGGATAATCGCCCACGCGCAGAGCCGGCTCGGATACCCGCTTCCAACATTCAGAAACCACTTCCATTCACGCGACAACTCGATACGAATTTGGTATCCAAAAATAGTCCTAATTCGTACGATTCTGACGATACCAAGAACATCCCAATCGGTGGAGATTTGACGGAGTTCCGTGTTGGAGAAGTTAGGCACAGCAGGTCACGGGCATGTGCGGGCGTGGGAATCTCAAGCGGCAACCCAGAATTCCAGCCTCACTCGTTCCCACGGCGTCTAATAAATTGGTAAAAATGCTCATCGGCTGCGTGAGAGTTATCTCCGGCTTCATTTCCAATTTCGGCTCTTAATTCCGTAAATCCGTTGAGATATCGCTTATTTTCTTATATTTTCATATTTTGCCATCATTTTAGATATTGATTGATATTCTTTTATTGTTACTGTTACTCTTTTTATTATTTCGCCTAATAAGGTACCCAGGTGCCATATGGCACCAATATTTGCCATCTATTATTTCTAAAAATAATTATTTCTTATAATCCTGTACATACCGGATTTTGAAATAGAAGTTCTCCCCTCCCCCAAAATTCTCTAGGACGCGCTAGAGTTGGAGTGAGTGTGTGGAATCCAACAGTAGGAATAAGGGCAACTGTCTAGCCCACAACGAGTGGGTAGTAGATTAGTTGAGCCCGGACCTTGCGGAATCCCGGAGAACCCACCACGGAGTTTTAGGATCGAGCATAGCGAAGTCAAGAGAGAAAGTAGAGGTTTTGGAGAGTTTGGCCCCACGAGCTTAGTCGGCATAGAGAGCCGCTAGCCCTCTTTCAGCGTTCCCAGCACTTCCTGCACGACCTTCCGATGTTCCTCTAGGGTGGACATGAAGATCAAGATGTCGTCCATGTACCAAATGACGACTTCTCGGTCAATGAAATCCCGAAGAATGTCGTTCATCATGGTTTGGAAGGTTGCTGGGGAGTTGCACAGTCCGAAGAACATTACCATGGGCTCAAACAGGCCTCGGTTGGTCGCGAACGCCGCCTTCCACTCATCGCCATCTTTGATCCGCACGTTGTTAAACCCCCAGCGCAAATCCAGCACCGAGAAATACTTTGCATTGTGAAGGCACGCAAGGACGTTGGAAATGAGTGGGAGGGGGTATGAGTTCTTGACCATTATCTCGTTGAGTTTTCGGTAGTCCTGAACCAGGCGCAGAGACCCATCCTTCTTCTTGACGAAGAATACAGGGGCACCCATTGGCGATTTTGATGGGCGTTGCAAGAGGGCTCGCGGCTCTCTATGCCGACACAGCTCGTGGGGGACAACTCTCCCTAAACTCTACTTTCTCCACTAAACTCGCTACGTTCTCGATCCTTAACTCCGTGTGGGTTCTCCGGGATTCCGCAAGGTCCGGGCTCAGTGTCCACTACTCACTCGTTGTGAGCTAGATCACTGCCCTTATTCCTACTGTTGGAATTCCACACACTCACACCCTCTCTAGCGCGTCCTAGCACCTTAGAGAATTTTGGGGGAGGGGAGAACTTCTATTCCAAAATCCGGTATGTACAGGATATAAGGAACAATTATTTTTAGAATAATTGATGAGAAATATTGGTACCATATGGCACCTGCATACCTTATTAGGCAAAAGTAATAAAAAAGGGTAACAGTAACAATAAAAGAATAATGATCAATAACTGAAATGATGGCAAAATATGAAAATATATGAAAATAAGCGATTTCTCAATGGATTTGCGGAATTAAGAGCCTAAATTGGAAATGTAGCCGGAGATAACTCTCACACAGCCAATAAGCATTTTTACCAATTTATTAGACGCCGTGGGAACGAGTGAGGCTGGA